CTTCATAATTCTTTTAAAATAAGTAAATGTAATCCCCCTTTTAAATCCCTTTGTATTTATGTGTTTTTTTCTTGTCAAAGTCAAATTACTTTATGGGGAAAACAAGGAGCCTAGGGTTTTCACTTTCTGCCTCTTCTTGGGCGTCTCACAGAGCCCCTAGTCCAAGAGTCCCTGGGCTAAGAGCCACGGGCAAAGAGCCCTTTAGCTCGCCCTTCGGCTCGTGCCTCTGTCAAGGAGCTTTCTTAAATACTCACCCTTCTGTCTCCTGCTCCTGTTCCTGCTCAGAGCTCAGCTGGGTCTCCTCTGCCTCTGGCCAGGTGTTTCCTTAAATAGAGGCCTCCCCCAGCAGAGTGCTGGCAGCAGCTATTCAAATGCACCCAGGCACTCAATCACATGCAAAACAATGCCCCTTCCTTTTCCTCTCAATTGCAGTCAATCACAGTCAAACAATGCCCTTTCCTCTCTCAAGCAGCCAGGAATCTGCAAAAACTCCAAGCGCTTCCACACACTCCCAGACCAGTTCTCCCACCAAAATCCTCAGCTGGATCCTCTCCGCTGAAAGCAAATAAAAAACCACTCACCCCTCTGTCTCCTGCTCCTGCTCCTGCTCAGAGCTCAGCTGGGTCTCTTTTGGACTGGGGGGAGCTCTGCAACTTACCTGGCTGCTTCTTGCTCTGACTGAGGGCTGCTGGGAGCAGGGAGTGGGGCTTGTTGCATGTGCCCGCCCCCTGGGCTCTTTATTGCCGGAGCTCCGCTCCTGTGCGCTCCGGCAGGAAATGACCCCTGCTGATCTCCAAACTACAGGAATCAGTCCCCCGGGAGACCATGGTTGTTTTGGATGGGTGGATTCTATGGCATTATACCCCACTGAAGTCCCTCCCCTCCCCAAACCCTGCCCTCCTCAGGCTCCACCCCAAAATCTCCAGGAATTTCTCAACCCGTAGCCGGCAACTTTACTGGGGAACCACCCTGGGTGTTTCCCTTAGCTCTGCCAATCTCAGGGGCCTGTTGACCCTTTAACTTACCAAGAATGGAACAAAGTTTGGGTCCAGGGGCACCTTTTGAAACCAACAAAGTTTAGTTCTGGCAATAAGCTTTCGTGTGCTTTCTAAGAAGTGTGCATGTACACGGAAGCTTGCTTATTTATTTATTTATTTATTTATTTGCATTTTTACCTCGCCCTCCCCACGAACGGGCTCAGGGCGGCTTACACAGGGGCATAAGCCCATACACAACACAATATAAAACAGTAAAACCATTAGATTACACAAACAGATAAAGTGCTCCATGCAGACAAGATGGTCTCTGAGGATGGTAGCAATAATTTCCTTAGGTGAATTTGTCCTATCGATGGTCCAAGCCAGTCCAGCGGCATCAGTGCCATGCAAATTTATGGCCGTTCTTCCGGGGGCCACTCCCAACCCTGTTGTTTCAGTGGTGGTAGTAGTAGAAGTGGCGGCCCCTATATAAAAGCCTGGTGGAAGAGTTCCGTCTTGCAGGCCCTGCGGAACTTCATAAGGTCCCGCAGGGCCCTGATCTCCTCTGGGAGCTCATTCCACCAGGTGGGGGCCGCCACTGAAAAATATCTCAACTGAAAAAGATCTTATACCCAGAATTCAATTTTGTTGGTCTTATGAGGGCCACTGGACTCCAACTTTCTTCCGTTGCTTCAGACCAGGGGTGGCCAAACTTGCTAAGTGCCACACAGAATAAGCATCAGATGTTTGAGAGCCACAAGACATGAACAAATATTACACACATTTTTATTGCAAAATATGCAGATTTGCTTTTTGTTGACGTTAAATGAGATGGCCAGAAATGAAAACAAAAGGGGGTAGAAACAGATATTGCTAGTGATGTTTATTTGTCCAATGATATTTATTTGCTTGCTATTGCTAATGATATTTGTCTGAGAGAGAGAAAGACAGAGAGAGGTGGAAAGAAAGAGAGAGAGAAACAAAGAAAACAAATAGATGAGGGGAGGGAGGGGAGGGGGAGAAAAGAAGGAAAGAAGAGAGAGAAAGAGAATGGGAGGAAGAAAGGAGAGAGACAAAGAAAGGTGGAAAGAAAGCAAATAGATGGGGGGTGGGAGGGAGAGGTGGAAAGAAAGCAACTTTAACTTTAAATATGTCTTGCAACCCCCCACACCCCCACACTGACTGGCTGGGTTGGCTTGGAGAAGGGATTAAAGAGACAAATGCCTTCTTCAAGCCAGCTGGCAGGGTGTGTGTGGACGTTGAGAACACATTTAAAGCTGAAGTTGCTTGCTTTCTCTGCTCTCCCCCCCCCCCACCTCAAGCCTACCCAGGGAGAAAAGAAGGAAAGAAGAGAGAGAAAGAGAATGGGAGGAAGAAAGGAGAGAGACAAAGAAAGGTTGAAAGAAAGCAAATAGATGGGGGTGGGTGGGAGGGAGAGGTGGAAAGAAAGCAACTTTAACTTTAAATATGTCTTCCAACCCCCCATGTCCCCACACTAAACT